TGTCACATCCCGGATCGGCTCTGCCGTAGCACGATATTGTCCGCTTTGGGCCCCCCCTCTCTGGCCCTCACGGTTTTGTTTCTGGGAGCTCACGACCAACTTCCCAGTGGGTCACCCATCCTGGGATTGCTCTCGCCCCCAACTCGCTTAACTTCGGAGTTCCTACTACTCCGAAGCCAGTGAGCTCCCAAAAGGCCTCGTGCTAGATGGATGCGGGTGTGTACATTTAAGGCACATCACCCACTCTCCGTTGGTTGATGTGGGATCTCACAACAACGACCATGACGACGTGGCGAAAGAGGAGTAGAGCTAAGAGCATTTGATCGAGGTTCATTCGAGATTCCGAACAATCTGAAAAAAAAAATGTCAATAGAAGCATGATTTTAGAACAAGAAATCGAAGGTGAAATATTGAAATTGTAGATCAAAGATGAAGAATATAGTTGGGCCTGAGACTGAGCTTCAATGGAACCTCCTCTTGCTCCAACACCAAGAAAGCACCGCCGAGAAAGGAGAAAATAAATATGATTTGGTTTTTTGGCTTCTCTCTCAAATCCATAGTACAAGGGCAATATAGGTATTTTACACACACAATTAAACTAAAAAATAGCTATTAAATTGAAAAAATTGACGTCTGTTGATTTTTGGGTGTATTTATAGTTTTTAAATGGTTTAGTGTTTCTTTATAAGATTATGTCTAAGATTGGGTATATAACTAAATTTGTATAATAAATATGGACACGTGGAAACCGAAAATTTTATCCAAAAATCTTATCAAAATAAATCTTATAAGTATAAATAATAAAATAAATTTGTTGTGAATAGTAATTGCCCTTTGCCATGGCAAATGGTGGAAAAACAACAACAAAATTGCTAGGGCAGACAGTATTCACATGAATAGTACCAGTCCTTGCCTCCCCTTCCCTTTTGCCATGACAAATGCTCTAAGAGCAACTCCACCCATTTGCCCTTAGCCATGGCAAGGGGGGAGCTAGGGCAGCCACTATTCACATGAATAGTAGTTGCCCTTGCAAATAGTATTTTCCGTTTCCACCCGTTGCCATGGCAAAGGGCAATTACTATTCATTTTTTAATTTTTTTCACAACTTTTTTTTACCTCAATAATTAATTTGGATAATATTTTCGGGTTCCTACATGTCAATACTATTCATATCTCATAATCGGATAAAATTTTCAATTCAAATTTCAGATAAATTTTTTTAAAAAAAATTGGCTGGTATTTATAGAAAAAAATTCATTAATTTTTGGGTATTTTTTTAAAATTTTTTTGAATTTTTTCCAGTATTTTATTGCAAAAAAATTGGCTGCCGTTGGATTGGAGGAAAAAATCAGATCGGAGAGCCCAGACAAAAAAAAATCAAATGAGTGGGCTAACGCCAGCCTGACGTCAGCACCAGCCTGCGTTTTGGACCTCGGGCCAGCCCGAGTTGCGTGGGACCCACTCCAGCCTGTGCTTGGGCTCACCGCTGGAAACCAATTTTTGCAAAAAACTCCCCCAGCCCGAGGCAAGGGGGTCTCGGTGGAACTGCTCTAGGGCAAGGGCAACTACTATTAATTGTACTTTATTTTCAATTTTTTTATACTTTAAACCATTAATTCATTTTGTCATATAATATTTTCGGTTGCCACGTGTCACTATTTATTATAAAATTATCACCTCAAATTTCAGATAACATTTTCGGATAAAATTTTCGGATAATATATTTGGTTGCCACGTGTCCATGTCAGATAAGATTTTCAGATTTTGTAAAAAAAAAAATTATAATCTCAAATTTCAGATGAGATTTTCACCCTATAAAATTACGCCATGTGTCCCATGTCAGATAAGATTTTCAGATTAAAAAAATATATATAATCTCATATTTCAGATAAGATTTTCACCCTTTAAAATTGCGCCATGTGTCCCATGTCAGATAAGGTTTTCAAATTTTTTTTAAAAAATCATAATCTCATATTTCAGATAAGATTTTCACTCTCTAAAATTGCGCCACATGTCATCTCTATCTTCTCAATCCCTTTATATAACTACACCATCAACTCATACATCTCACACCACATCTTATCTATTCCTTCAATTATCATATTTTACAAAACATATTTTACTCTCAATGTCAAACTTGAGGAGGGTGTTGGAGAGGCAAGAGAGAGAAGAGCAAGAAATCCGGCGAAGACGTGCTGAGGAAGATCGGGAGGCCGATGAAGAAGAGGAGGAAATGCTTGTAGCCTTTGCTATGCTTAATGAATCAAGGCAACACCACCGTCGTCGTGCCCAGAATGTGGATAGACATAGGCAGTCTCGGGGTAAGAATCTCATGGAAGATTACTTTATCCCAAATTCCTTATATCCTGTTTCTAAGTTTCAAGAGAGATATAGAATGCAGCCACATTTGTTCCAAAAAATCATGCATGATATTTGTAATTACGACACATACTTCATTCAGAAAAATGATGCTTGTGGAGTTTTGGGTCTTCTCCCAGAGCAAAAACTTACAGCTGCTTTGCAGATGCTTGCTTATGGGGCATCTGCAGAGCAGGTGGATGAGATTGCAAAGATGGGAAAATCAACTATCCTAGAGTGCTTGGTGAGATTCTGTGATGCAGTAAAAAATCTCTACATGAGGGAGTACCTTCGTAGACCTTCTCCTAAGGACCTCCAAGGGCTTCTACAAAAAGCTGAGACTCGAGGTTTCCCAGGAATGATTGGAAGCATCGATTGGATGCACTCGCAGTGGAAAAATTGCCCAACAGCCTGGCAAGGAGATTATGGGAATCGAAAGGGCCAAAAAAGTATAATTCTGGATGCCATAGCTTCATTCGACACTTGGGTTTGGCATACCTTCTTTGGAGTGGCCGGATCTCAAAATGACCTCAATGTGCTTGGTCAATCCCCAATGTTTAATGATGTATTGCGAGGTCATTCTCCCCATATCACGTACCAAATCAACAACACTATATACTCTAGTGCGTACTACCTTGCTGACGGAATTTATCCTAGGTGGATGACATTTGTGAAAACAATTCCGAATCCTCAATCCTAGAAAGAAAAAAGCTTTGCTGCCTTTCAAGAAGGTTACAGGAAAGATGTGGAAAGGTGTTTCGGTATCTTGTAAGCTCGTTGGGCAATTATTACACTACTACAAAAAACGAAATAAACGACGGGAATCCACCGTCGTGTATCATGTTTTACAACCGACGAGAAATTCCGTCTTTTAACACATGAAATAACGACGGCAAATAACCGACGTGGTTAATATATTACACGTCATAAAAAACACTAAAACCGACGTCAATTTCATACATAAAAGCATAAAAAGACAACTTCCGACTATATTAGACGACGGTTTTAGTAAAACACAGACGTTTAAATAATGTTAAATGTAAAAAATAACTACAAACCCGACGTAAATATTTTTATCAACGTCTCTAAATAAAACACAACCGACGTGTAAAATGTAGAAACCGTCGTGGTTAATAAATACTGCGTTCACTAAATAAAAAAACTGACGTCTAAAACATATAACATGGTAAATTAGACGTCACTTTTGTCAAAACAAGTGACGTCTTAAATATTTAACATGGCGTATATTTACTTGAACTGATGTAAAAAAAAAACATAACCACGACCCTTTAGGTCACCACAGACGTTGAAAATTATTTTGACGGCTTGAACATAGAAACAAACGACGTAAATTTAACATTAGACGTCGGTTAATTAAAATACCTGTCATGTTTAATCCATTTACTACGGCCTAGGAGTCACATTTTAGGACGTTGTTAGTAGTTTACAACGTCGGTGGTTGTAGACTTTGACGTGGTTGGCATTTTAAAAGTCTCTTTTGTGAGCCACTTAGGCGTGTGTAATCTCTGAGACGTCATTGCTTTTATCCTAACCGTCGTTAAAAAGTAACGAAATGCCTTGAGTTATGGATTTGACGTTGGTTATTGTAAAATAAAGGTCGTGGTTATAATTTACTATGTCCCAAGAATTCAATTATTCGACGTTGTTATATGATTACACGTCGGTTAATTAAAATACTTCTCATGTTTAATCCATTTACTACGGCCTAGGAGTCACATTTTAGGATGTTGTTAGTGTTTTACAACGTCAGTGGTTGTAGACTTTGACGTGGTTGGCATTTTAAAAGTCTCTTTTGTGAGCCACTTAGGCGTGTGTAATCTCTGAGACGTCATTGCTTTTATCCTAACCGTCGTTAAAAAGTAACGAAACACTTTGAGTTATGGATTTGACGTCGGTTATTGTAAAATGAAGGTCGTGGTTACACTTTACTATGTCCCAAGAATTCAATTATTCGACGTTGTTATATGCTTACTACGTCAGTTATTTATTTATTCCATGACGTGGCTACTCTTTGTTAAGTCTCTTTTATAACCTTTTTTGACGTGTGTATTCTTCGAGACGTCAATTGTTTAATTATAACTGATGTGCAACAATGTTTTTTTGATGTTAATCATCAATTGACTATATTCATAAATTCGTCGGTTTGAACTCTGCCGTCGTGTTATACTTTATTGTTCATCGTTGATTATTTTATTTATCGTCGTTGTTTTAAATTTTTATTAACCGTTTTAAAATGAATTTTAATTAACCGACGTGTTTTCTTTTTCAAATGGCGGGTTTTATTTCATTTTTGCATTGTCATTCCACGTCGGTTGTTTTGTAGACGTCTCTTTTTGCGATTTTT